GAAGAAAAAAGAAGTAAAGAAGGAAAATTGAAAAATTATTGTCAGCCTGGTATTTGTTTGCTGTCTTTCTTTTTGTGCATTTATTCTCATTGGAACATTTCCAGTTGACAAGTGTGTATTCGATATTTGTGAGTTCAGTTTTTTGTTTTGTTTCATTTCATCTGCCCTTTAGCTTGAGCATAAAGAGATTCACAACAGACCTGCACCCAGAGATCCCATTGGAAGCTTTTTCAGTGAAGTAAGACATCTTACCACATCCATTACTTTGTTTCCATTCAAATCCCTTATTAAAACCTAGTTTGGTGAGAGTATGATCATGAGTGGCACATTCTCACTGCAACTATGTATATTGTGTCATCCTGCTTGAGTATTCCTGGTTTGCTAGAATGTATTTGCAACTTTTTTTTCAGTGGGGTTTTTTTGGTGAACATTTTAGCACCTTGTTATTAAATATGTTTCAGTCTTTGTTTTATGCTTGTGATAAAATAGAGTTGCCATACCAAACATATTGTTCATACTTTGTTAGAATAAGGTTTTCTTAAAACTTTTCTCAACGAATGCAAGTTTTTTGGTTAACTTTTGTTGAAATCTGGCTTTTCAAAGCTCTAGACTTGTTGCTGATAACTGTGTTTTTATGCCCTTTTCAAGATAAGTGGGGCGCATTCAAAATATAGTAAAGAATGTTTATGAGATACATGTGCATTGATTTGGGAAAATCTTTTGCCAGAAATGTTCATAAGAATAGATATCCATGACGATGTTTCTGTTCCCTACAAATTTATCAGGAGATGTTAATAGTTTTTGCTATAGTTTTTGCTAAAACAACAGACAAATCATGTCTGACCATCTGTTTCTTTTTCTGTAACTTTGCAGAAAGAAAACGATAGCCTTCAGAAGAATAAGCTCACAGCCAGTAAGTATATTTTTTGGTGTGTGCACATTCATATGCTTTTGATGGTATTGTGTGTTGTCTTTATGCATCTATTATTAAATACTTGTTTTAAAAAAAGATAGAAAGAGTTCTTTTGTCCCATGCATATTTTATTGTGAGGCAGTGCTTTTGATTTCTTAATAGCTCATTTCAAAGTTCTAAAGTGGAGAGGTAGCTGTTTTGCATGGGATTTTTTCCTTTTTCTGTAAAGTTATCTTGTTGAACTCTGATCATAATTAATGAGTTGACTGCTTGGCCCAGTTTATGATGAGTGTGAGTTGTTTTATTAATGGTGTAAATTATTTGTTGTGATTCAAAATGTTCTTGAGATCTGATTTAAAAACTGTGAAATCTGAAAGTATGAATGTTGTCAGAGGCATGTGGTAATTACAGTTTCAGTTGAAAGTCCAGCAGATGACTGACAACAAGTTTTTCCCATGTCAGCCCTCGTTTTCTTGGGCCATAATATGTGTGGTGGAAAGCCCTGTTATTGCTTCGTTCCTAGTTTGATTTTATTGTTCATAATGGCTGTTATGTTCATCAGTTTGTCATGTTGGGTTTTAACAGGTGCTCTATCTGGTATAGTAGTTTTGTCATCCTTTTCTATCAAACATTTATCATCCTTATCTCCCTTCCTTTTCTTTGTATGTTAATCTCAAGTAGTAACACCTCTAATCTTTGGCCTATTTGTGTTGCAAGTGCTGTTACTCTCTTACTTTAAAAAAATCATTGATCATTGTATGTTTACCCCCAGCTCCCCAGCCTCCGATTCGACAGCCCGACAGACTTCCTGGAGGAGGACAAAGATGAGAATGAGGAGAACAGTCCGAGCCAGCCGGAGTTGTTCAGTGATGAGACCAGCTCACAGGACAGCGGTCTGGGCCTTGATCACGACCGGGTGAGTTGCTTCATACAGACCTATGTGCAGTATTGATAGGCTTTGGTGTGGTGAGTTGCTACATACAGACCTATGTGCATTATTATTAGGCTTTGGTGTGGCCAGTTGTTTGATCTGTGTGAATACTAAGCTGTAGGACAAAAAGGAGGCACTTCTTAATACATTATTGTTCTTCCAACACTCCTGTACATCCCTAAGTCATTGTTCAGAATTGCTAAAGAAGGAGAGGGGGAGAATAAAAAATGTAGAATGGAAAGAGATTGATGATTTTTCTTTTATTGTCATATATTCATAACATTTCATCTGTATTTTCGTTAACTTTAGTATCTGAGCCAATACAAATAATACAACTGTTGTTGGGAATGTTGTGTCAATCACATCAGAATCTTCCTTTGACAAAACTCAAGTTTCAGTACATGTTTTATATTGATTTTTCAGAGAGCGTCTGTGGCAAGTTCTGATGATGGTGCAAGTGTCACCTCTTCCTCTGTGTCATCACACCACTTAGAACGATTACCCTCCCTTGATGATGTTTGGAACTCTTTGGTTAGTTCAAGAAATATCTTTTAAGTGTAATGTAGACTTTAGTTGTTAGTTGACTCAAGTGTCATAAAAAAAAGTTTTGTTGATTTCCTCGTACAAAATGTCCTTGATGACTTGCTGCATCAAAACTTAAAGAGAAGACCTCCGGGCCTTTTGAACGTATATTTCTTACCAAAGCGCAAATATGTTGCTCCTTTCAGTTTTGTGATTGATCTCAAATGTCCAAATGAAGGGTCACAGTGTAACTGTTGTTGTGTTTCGCTGACCTTGATTCCATGGTTGAGTGTATTTTGTTTAAATTTCTCCATGTGTGTTTATAACCAATTTACCATTTTTAGTTGAGGGTGGCATTATTTTTTTTTCCCTCTGTAAAGTAATGCAACTGATGAATGGTTTATGCAAATTGATGTACTTTCAGCATTCTGTCGACTTTAAAGAACCTAAAGGGAAGCCACCCAAGAGAACTCGTAGCTTTTTAGATCACAAGCAGCACAGTGAAGAGACATGCTCTCCCTTGAAGTACTCTCCGGTCAAGTCCTCATCCCTACCTAGGCCGTCCTTCAGTGGTTTCTCCAAGTCCTTGTTCTCAGAGGTATTTTGGGGCACAACTTATGATATTATTTTCATTAATACATTCATTTTTTAATAAGTTCAAGGTGTGGGGGAACATTTAGCGCAGTTTGGAAATTGGTTTCTGTAAAGTCAGGTTTATTTGCCCATTTTGATTAAGATGTGACCTGGGTTTCACAGAAACCACTCTGAAAGTATGTTTGTCACTGAGGGACTGTTCATTTCTGAAAATGGGGTTTGGGTTGGTGGCAGAACAGCAGTATTTTAATAAATAAACTTTTTGAAACATAGAAACTCATTTTACTTTTTAACTAATTTCATTATTTCAAGGGTTTTGTTTGAAGTAATCAAGAGTGATTCAGCATTTGAAGACTGGAATTTTGTTTTCTTTTTTCTATTAACAGACGATACCATCTGCTGTCAGTGAAGTTTCAAAGAAGAAGACCAAGCTGTCTTTTGATGACGGTTTCCAAGAACTTTTTGATATCGATGATGTCAGTGCAGATGTAAGTTTATGGTTTATTTGTACATTTATGTTGTCTTTTCAGTTTGTCTCATAGAGGTTTTTATGCTTGCATTCTTAATTTTATACTTTTCTTTTTCTATCTACTGCCAGTCTACCTGTGGTCACAGTGTCTGTTTCTAGCCAGTCAATGATCTACTGTACCCATTTCCCTCTTGGTCTGTCTCTTGCTCTCTTTTTGAGCGATGTAGCAAGACGAGAAATTGTCCAAAATCTGAGAGATAATTTTGTTGTTGGTTGTCTTTTAACGTCATATTTCATCTGGACATTTGTCATTTGGCTTAGTTTATTATTACAGGAATTTAACTCCCCCACTGTGACAGCGTAGACATTTGTCATTTGGCTTAGTTTATTATTACAGGAATTTAACTCCCCCACTGTGACAGCGTAGACATTTGTCATTTGGCTTAGTTTATTGTTACAGGAATTTAACTCCCCCACTGTGACAGCGTAGACATTTGTCATTTGGCTTAGTTTATTATTACAGAAATTTAACTCCCCCACTGTGACAGCGTAGACATTTGTCATTTGGCTGAATTTATTATTACAGAAATTTAACTCCCCCACTGTGACAGCGTAGACATTTGTCACTTGGCTTAATCTATTATTACAGAAATTTAACTCCCCCACTGTGACAGCGTAGACATTTGTCATTTGGCTGAATTTATTATTACAGAAATTTAACTCCCCCACTGTGACAGCGTAGACATTTGTCACTTGGCTTAATTTATTATTACAGGAATTTAACTCCCCCACTGTGACAGCGTAGACATTTGTCATTTGGCTTAGTTTATTATTACAGAAATTTAACTCCCCCACTGTGACAGCGTAGACATTTGTCATTTGGCTTAATCTATTATTACAGAAATTTAACTCCCCCACTGTGACAGCGTAGACATTTGTAGGAGCAAGTCATTGGGAGCTCATACGTTTTGTAAAAGTAGATTGAAGCAAATGGAAAGAACAAATATGTCAAAGTAATTATCAGAGTGTTGGAAATTGGATAGAAAATACATTTACTTTAAAATTAAAAAAAAAAATCCAATATAGTGTTTGAGAGATATCTTTTTAAAAAGTGTTTATGTTCTAGATTCAACATGGAAAGTTTTAGATCTGTCACTCTTATCGCAGACAGATTTACTGTCACTGTCTGACAGAAGGTAAATTTTTTGCTCATATGGATGGCTTACCCTTGAGCGAGCCTCGCTTTTCTATTGTATAAAACATTCATGTTTGAATAGTTCTAGGAGTGGCGGCTATTGTGCTGTAGTTAATTTTAAGCTAGACAGTACCATAAATAAAATTCACCATCCATTTGCAACTTCCCATTCACATTTTCGAGGCACAAGAGACCCTCTAGGGAAATGTTTTAGACAATGAAAAAACCCCCCAAGGTAAGGTACCGTACTCAACCATGTTTTGAACACAAATTTTGATTGGATAGGAGTGTAATATTAGCTTGTTTCTTTCCTCAGAGAAGAGAACACTGTTCAGTGCACTACATGTTGTGTTGACAGGAAAGGGTTAGGTGTTTGTCCTTTTTTTTCATGAATTATTTCTAGTCAAGGTCTTGAGAACTTTTTAAAGGATTTTCCCATTTTGTTTTTCAGTTGAAGACAGAAGCTAACGACCAAGTCTCCTCCTTGATCAGTGCTACGTTGTTGCATCATCCAAAACATGACAAGGGTGATGATGTCAGCACCGAGCAGTTCCGCAACTTGCTCAGTCGTACGAAGAGGCCGTGCGTCCCCCGACAGGACAATGAGGACAGCACACCTTCTGTGAGTGTTTCTCCAGCAGTTTGCTTCCTGCTAAGTGGGAGAGTTTTTTCTTCTTTGCGTTTGGTTTTGTCAACTTTATCTCAGTGTATTTGTCATGTTGTACCAAATGATTTATATAACGTTGGTAATTTGTTGAAAAGATCTATTGACGAGGGTTGACTACCGGTTGTCGTATTAGTACCATGTAACATTCTCCAGTCTATCATTTGTGAGGCGTGCTGACAAAATGAGTTACTTCTCACAATCCATAAATGGAGATATTGGCCAAAAAGGGACACAAGGGTCAAATTTGTAAATTTTGTATTGATGTCATATTCTTTAAGTGCAACATTCCTTTCATTATTTCATGCTTATAAATTGTGAAAACTTCACCTATAAGTGTGATGTATCTATTTCCTGTCAGCACCCTTCACAATTTATCATGCTAAATATCTTCAGGAAAAATGTCTGTCAAAAAAAAAAAAGGTTTCTTGGTCAAAGTGAAGATTATTATAAATGATCTAGAACGTTAAGTTTCTTAATCTAGAACGTTAAGTTTCTTAATCTAGAACGTTAAGTTTCTTAGTGCCCTCCAAAGAAGCCCTTTCGTCTGTAGCATTTGAGAGGAATGACCCAAAATATATAAGTGCTGAAGGAATTCATAGACTTTTTGTGTGACCGACTGATTGAAACATTATTTTTTAGATAAAAGTGCTATCTGGTTTCTTAGGCAGCTGCCATTAAAAGTGCTCATGTTTCAATTAAAAAACTTTTAACAAACTTTTTAGTATAATTTAAGGTGGTTGCGAAATCCATCTAATTTTTCCCTTTCGAAATACTTTATGTGGACTAAAAAGTGGTGTTGACTCTCTTGTCTTTTCATCTCTTAGAGTCGGCCGGCTGCATCTCGGAGAGCTCTTCTACACAGATCTCAGTCTTTGGACATCCAGCCACGCTCTTCTTACAAACGCTGTGAGCCCCCTCAAGACAACACTCCTGTCCAGAGCAAAAAGTGGCGAGGCGAGGATGTCGCTACAGCTTCTGACAAGTCCACTTCTGTCAGTAAAGATGATGATCATGTCATTGAAAATCCTGTAAGTCTTAGAGGAGTAATGAAATGTGGTAACTATTTTCTATGGAGATCACTGTTATTGAAATACTGGTTACAAGATGGGGGTTTTGAAATTTTTTTGAAAAGATTCGTAAAATGAAATATGAAAAACATATTTAAAGTATCGATGCTTATTTCAGTTTTTGGCATACAGTACTTCTTAAATGTTTACGAGTGAAATAATGAAAACTTTCGGGATATTTAAAAGTCAGAGAAAATTTGGATAATTTATTAAAGAATGTTTTCCTTGGTTTTTTTTTACATGAATAAATGTAGTCATGACTCAAGTGCGCTGCTACATTTAAGTAGCAGTATTTTTCCCCCCTACTTATCTGTATAATACAAAGCGGTAGAGAAACCCTCCCAATTTTTCCCTATCGAAATACCAGCTCAGAATGTTCTTTATATGCGTGTTTATTATCTCCCCTCCACCCTGTGTAGCCTGTGTCTGCGAGACGTTTCCACCGGTGCCATTCAGAGACTGACGCTCAAATCAAGTCTGCAGTGTCTCGCATGTTCATGGAACCCGACCTGATTGGAGATTCCTCCAAGGTTTGTGGACTGGGTTTTTTTTCATGTCTAACCATTGTTTGTCTGCTGTCCTGGTGAGGTTTGGGATAAGTCAGAGATGACACCAGGTGGCACTTGGACTTAGCGAAATTATGTTCTTTGCATTCATTAACAGAGCAACTTGAGATTTTCAAAATTTTGACGTACAAAATTAAATAATATGTCACTTTTCACGTAAATATTGTTGAAAAGTCTTCTTGTAAACCCTCTACCTCTCATGTGTATGATGCCTCTTGTATTGCAAGTTAGGTATGTTTTATGTATTGTTATATTTCCAAAAATTCTGGGACTGCTGGAAGTATATAAAAGGACTTTTCCTCCCTATTCGTGTATAGATATTATTTGCGGATGTTTTGTAATGACAGCATATTATAGAGTATTTGGCTCATGATTCAGCAAGTTCTGGAAGTTCTATTGCACTGAAGAATTATATCAGAAATGTTTGCCATGTCTTCTGCCGTACTTATGTCTTTTAGTGGTACATACCTTTAAATGGGAGTTACCATTGTGGCGTCAGTCTTTGCGTGGATTTTTGTTGTTGTGTTTTAAGATAAAAGCGTTCTGTATTTCTTGGTTGAGCAGTGGGTTATACTAGAATGTGATGAGATTTGATAAAATTCAGATAAGAGGTCATACTTTCCTTAGAATGTAAATATTTTCTCTTCTTTGTTGAATGTATTCTGATTGGTGTGTTTTCTTTTTTCTCTCCCTTTTCCAGTGTTATTGCCTTCCAACGATAAAAGGCAAACATCAAGATCTCAAGTCCATCACTCCAGAAACGGTAAGTTTTGCTAATTCGGTGTTGAAATGGTCTTTGAACCTTCAGTTATGATGCAGATCCTTTGGGACAGTGTTAAAGATAGTTTTAGTTAATGTTTTTTGTTTGTTTGACCAGCAATTGTCTTATAGTGTGCATTTCCTTGCCATGTTGTGTCTTGTCCCGCCTACAATGTAAGGTAATTCTGTCCTGATTATTAGAAGAACGTTCAACCAGATATGCACTGGCACAATCAGTGGAAAGACCCTCGGCGGCATTTTGGAGAGAGCAACGGAGCAGCAATGGACATGTCTGGAGTGCAGGGATGCTGCTTCCTGAAACAATGAACCATGAACTATGATTATTAGAACCTTCTATAATGGCCACTGTATAGGAGAATCACCTGTGCAAATGGCCATTTTCCATTTCTTTCATGGCATATTTTTTGCATTGTATTGACACTGCAAGACGGCAGCTTCTCTTCTCCACAACAGGTGGCCATCTGAGACAGTTTCGACCGTACTTGTTTTTCAGTTTGTGACCTTGAACGATGAATTTCCTGATTAATTTGTTCATGTTTCTTTTGCATATCTAATTATTTCCTAAATTTCAAAGACTTTTTTGTTTGTTTTATTTCCAGTTGAGCAGGGTGCTTGCTAATGAGTTTGCAGACGACATTGAAGAGTTCCACATAATTGATTGCCGGTATCCGTACGAGTTTGAAGGTGGCCACATACAGGTTAGTGTCATGTTGCTCTTGTTTACCTTCCTATTGATGTACCGGTAGTCTCAAATTTTATAGAGATCTGGTGTATAATTTTAAAAGTATGAGGACGGACATTTGCAAATTTCATTGTATTGAAATGACAACGAACCTAGTTTTATCTCAAATTTAGCTGAGTTTCTTTAATAAATATACAATACTTTAGCTGCCACAATCCTTATTAATTGTTGTACCAATGATAGCAAAGGAAAAGGTTCGTAACGCTAACGTAGTCTTCAACTAGAAGCGGCCCTGTGTGATATTTCATCAAACCCCTAGTAATTGTTAGGGAAATGGTGACGATTTAGCTTCAAAATTTTATGTGAGGAGAGGGAATGAGAGATGTGTCCTATCCCCAAGGATATCCTGAGGGGATCTGGGGCAGGCAATTAATATTGAAAGTAAACGACTAACAAACATCATCATCATCGATTTTTATATATTTTCAATCAGCGTTACCTAATCTACTCCTGATATATTATCATCACCATCATCGTCGTCGTCATCATCATCATCATCATCATCATCATCATCATCATCATCATCATTGTCGTCATTACAATTCCTGACACATATTAAGTTGTAAGCATAACTAACATCTGGCACCTATAGAAATATGACATGGGGCCCAGAAAAAAAAAAAATTAAAGGAATTAATATAAAATAGGACAAATGTTGCGAGATTTGCTGTTGGTGAAGGTATGGACTATAGTGCCGTCGAAAATTTGTGGTGCAACTTATTGTCAAATATTTCTTTTTTTTCTTCTTATGTCGGCATTATGCTTATTTATTGAATACATGTTTTGAGAACTTTTAGTGCAAAAATGTTCTCTGTAAAATCAGTTTCTTGTAACAATTACCACTAAAAAGTGTCATTGATGAGCTGTGACATGCCAAATGTGTATGCAAAATGTGTGTGAGAAGTGGGAAGTACCATGAATGATCCCATTTTCCGCATGATAGAGATTATAGTATTTTATATAAATTTATGAAGGAAAGTTTTTTTAATCTAGCCCCAATTGTTGTGGAAAAATATGATTAAGTTAAGACAAATTGCTACAAACTGCTGTGCAAAGTATGGGTGACATTGATTCACTTATTAAAGAGATATTTGAGAATAAGTTGCGCCATGAATTTTTGACCGCACTATAGTTGAGACCTCCAAGAAAAGCCTTTTGCTGTAATGGAAGAACTGCTGAAAAAGCCAACAAACCAGCATGGAAGCTGGAACACAGTTACCACTTGATAGTCTGAATTGTGTAGTGGGCTTGTTCTTTTTTCTCATGCCCTTGAGTTAGCATATCTTTTACTAAAAAAGGCATAACGTTTTCTGTCAAAGATTAAATTTCTTAATTTTTTTTTTTTATAGAATGCACTCAACATTTACACCAAAGACGGTGTCATTGACAAGTATTTGAAGTCACCAATTACACTGAAGGATCCAAGCAAGAGATTCATCCTCATCTTCCATTGTGAATTTTCATCAGAGCGAGGACCTGGACTGTAAGCTCCTTTCTTTTTCTTTTGCATTTTTTTCTTTTGTTGTATTGACAATCAAAAAGGTGTTACTAAGGTTACTATAACAGAAAGAACAGCATTGATTTTCCAATGTTTGCAGTTTGCAGTTTTATGTCTTTTTTAATGTGTTGCTGAGTTTGCTCCTCTTACTTGATTTTAGAAAAGGAGTGAGAGTCGTCATGTAACTATGAATGAATGGTAGGGAAATAAGAGAGGAAATCCTTTAGAATATAAAGATATTGTGAGATGGTTACCACGAGGAGAGTTAAGTGAGAAATTTAACTCAGACTAAAGGGATCTGGTGTACTCTGTGTGTTATCTTTCTGTTTTGATTTTTAAGTGAATACTGTTCCTTGTACATCCTGCAACTTTCACATGGCTGTTGTTAACTTCAGTTCTATTTTGGGACATGTTCCTCATGATTAGCTGTTTTCTTTTAGTTTACTTTTAGCCTACTTGATTATATTCTTAAAATATGGGAGAAAACTAATTTTTGAATTTGAACGTTTTACAGGTTCCGTTTCCTGCGACGACTTGACCGTGAGACCAACAAGGAATGCTACCCGTTCCTTCACTACCCCGAGATTTACCTGTTGGAGGGAGGATACAAGAATTTCTTTGAGCAGCACTCGGTGAGAATTTTCCCAATTTATTATTTGACAAAAATGGCATGAAGAAGAGAAAAAGAAAGGAAAGAGGACTTTTTGTGTCCTGGAAGATTCTCTTTTTAGTGTTACTAATGGTGCATATTACTGAAGAGTTTTTTTTCAGCCCTGAGTTGCAAGCATTGCGCAGTCAGTTTGTCAGTATATACGTATAACATGACAAAGAGAAACTAATTTTCTTGATTAATTTTTTTTTCAGTCTTATTCTTAATGTTTTACTTCAACTGATTTCATTTATTTGTGCCTTTTCTGGACTGTGAAAAGATTCATGCCAAGTGAGACCAGTTGTTTATATTTTCTTTCTTCCCTCTCTCCCCATACCCTAGAACTTGTGTGAGCCCCAAAAGTACTTGCAAATGCTGGACAAGAATTATTCGGAAGATCTACGTAAATTTCGTGCCAAGTGCAAGATCTGGAGTGACGATCGAAGCCATAGTCGGTCAGGGATTAGACCTCTCAAGTTCTGACGGGAAAGACAGACATGTCGACTCCTCAAGTCTTCAAACTCTGGTCACCCAGTACAGATGGTAATGTTGGACCTTGCTGATTGTCTTTCATGAAGTGGAAAAAGTTGTCACGAGGACCAAGGCTTGATGCTGACACGTGACTTAGACACTGGAAGTCTTGCCTTACTGTGCTACAGCAGCATTTCAAGCACAAGAAATTCATAGCTCCAGTGAATTTTGTAGCCGGCACTGGTTTGTCGTTTGAATGTGCTCAAAATATGAGAATGTGGAAAAGTTTCTTAAGAAAAGTTTTTAATGCATGGATTCATGCCTCTAATCTTAATTAGTTTTGTAAGATTTTATAAAAACTTTGAATCTTTAAAATAATGTCCACACATTGTTGAATTATTTAAAAAAAGTTACTTCTTATCATAATTTTTCTACATTTTTAGAGCCAGGGAAAGTTGATGTATTTGTATGGATGAATGAAATTGCTTCAAAATAACATATCAAGGTACGGTTTTCATTTTTTCTAGCAACATGAATTTTTAGCTCCAGTTGGAAAGCTTTTAGCTGTGTTTTATTCTCTATGAGAAATAGTGTCACAGAGCCGGAGAGAAAAAAACAGTGTACATGTAAGTGATGGTCTTATGTATGGGGGGGGGGTTATGTCTTTTGTCGTGGATGTCTAAACATTTCAGAGAGGTTTACAGGATCTAAAGTTTCCTCTTTATTGTGTCAATAACAGTGAGGTGCTGGCCGCGTCATTGTCTCAGGCAGCGGTAGAATCTGTGAGGTTTAGTTTGCTGTTACCGTAGAGAGGATCTTGTTGTGATCGCTTCTAGTGTTGGCTCTGACCTGCTTCTGCCTTGATTGGTTGAAGGTTTTGGTACTGGAAGGTCGGAGCTGACCACTAGATGCTTTTGTTTGTTTCTTCCCACACGTTTATAAATTGAGTTAGCCCGATGGAAAAGAAGGCGGACAGACCTGTGTCTGTGGCGTCTTGGTTAGGCGCTTTGTTGTCGCTCGCAGAGGATGTGGGTTTGATGTTGAAGTGGGGAAGGTTTTTATTGAGCGTGTCCGTCTGTTTGCTGGGATTTTGTATCTGACATCAGTCTTGATTGGCTGTTTGACCGTGCTAGGCAAAGTTGAAGCAACCTGCCTCCTAAATGATGTACATTGTCTCGGAGGGGAGGGGGGGGGATGATGATAAAAGATTTACAATGAAAAGATGGAAAGTCTCCTCTTTTGTTTGAAAAACGAGTTTAATCTAGGCCATGTGTCCTTTAAGAATCCTTGATATTTTATTTTGTTTTTCTATTTTGATGAATATATTATATTGGGATTTGTTTTAAATTTATATCAGTCACCATGTTCAAGAATGTGTAAATTCTATTCTAAAAAGATATATTATGTTATGCTAGCATTAAACTGTAAATGAATGTTTTAAACATTTGAAGTCTATTCCTTTGTTTTTGTAGTTTGGTTGGAAAATTTATATTTTTTAAAAGTTATTTGTTTGGACGGGGAGTTTCTAATTTGATTCGTCAAGTTTTATCTGGAATTAAATGATATTTTGTGTTTTTGTTAAATTTGAGTGAACTGAAAACCCAGTTTTTATTGTTTTTGTATTTGTTACATTTGCGGTAACTTTTGAGTACTTTTCAAATCTCTCATCTTCTGGCTGGTGTCCTGGGTCAGGGGCTGTTGCTTAATTTTTGTCATGAAAAGGAAACAGTTTGTGAAAAAAATATTTTGTCATTGAAAGGTCGACTGTTAACTGTTGGAGATGGTTTGAGTTACTACTTTAGGAATGGAATAGGGACAATATCAATGGCATGGACATGGCTTCCTGTCTGTCTGTTGTGGTTGGTATTTGGGTTAATAACTGTTGATTCTTTTCTGACTTTTTTTCATGGTGTAGAAATATTAGGATTTTTTATATTTATTCAGCATTTGCTTTTCTAACAATGTAAAATGTATGTGCAGAATTTTAGACCAGTTTTTATGCCTTTATCTGAGAAAACTACACTTTGACTTTACCCGCTGGTATGTCAAGGGGTGGCATGTTGCTTGTATGAGTCCCGATTTTTGGCACGACACATTATCTCAGGCTGTAATCCGAACTGATAACTTTCATCTTGATAAGTGCTCAGAACTTCTGTGCCACTTGGCCCCATACTGTCAGAAGTGATTAATGAACAGAATGCATAATGAAATATATGTTTTTGTTCACAGCCTGTTCGAAGTAGTTACTGTTTATTTCAGGTAGATATTGGGGTGAAGTTTGCGTTGGTGTTTGGTAGCACTGTGAAAGGTGTAGCAGACTAAAGTATCTGGTAGTGATGGTCTGGGATGAGGTGGTGATATGTCTACTGTGGAATGGTTATGTCCGGGGTTCAAATTTTATTCTTTGATTCTTTTGAGTTTGTTCTGAGTTTTCGAGGCAGACTGCTTTTCTATAGATGGCCTATGTAGGTTAATTTTTTTTCCGTGTGAAAGACAGCCTAAAAATCTTTAAAAAGATAAGTTTTAGCAGCTTGACCACTGCTTTACTATGCTGAATTTGTTTGATCTTTCACAAAGTGTGAGCAGGTGATCGGTTTTTGGAATGACAACTTAAGTAAATAAGTGCTGTCTACACGTCGATTGTCGCATACTTTTCCACCATCTGTGGCTTATCACATAATGTGGAGTGATCACTTTGTACTTTGTAATGGTTAGTCACGTTTGATTCCACACTTTTTTTAATATATGTTTTGCTGGGTGTTAATTTAGCAACACTCTCATTCTCTTGTCTTTCTCTACCTCTTTCTTCCTCTGTCTCACAGTCTTCATCTCCCTCGTCCATCTTCATCCTCTCTTTCATTCTCTCACATACACATACACACAGCATACTCACAGCACACACACGTATATGGATTGGGAGGTGTTTGATGTTGCTTTGGTTCTTCTGCTTTTCTGTATTACAATTACTGTTGTTCGGTTGTGGTCATGACAAAATGTGGATGTCAGTGCACCAACTCACAGTCACACAGTCACAGGACACATTGTGAGTCCACAAGAACAAATGTGCATATAGACAAGCACCTGCACATAACCAAACACACACATGCACAGGATTTTTAGCATTTTAATCTGAATATTAACCAAAATCAAGCCGTACTGTGAAATGTTGTGAATGCAACCTACTTGTGTTTCATTCACTCACATGACTGTATGCAGTTGTGAGCGCCGTAAAACTCTTACTAAACTAAAACTAAAAAACAGAAGAAAGCATGCACACACACAAACACACAAGCATACACACACACACAAGCACAAACACACACAAAATAAAAGAAAGTTGATGCGACTCGCTTCCTGTGCAGAGGTGCTGGATGTCCCACTGTAGAGTAAGGAAACGCAACATATGGTGTTGGGCTGATTTTTTTGGATGATGATGCTCAGTTGCATTGTTGATTTCTCTTCTCACTTTTGCCATCTCCCTCCAATATCTTGAGAGGAACCCCTCTCAATATCGCATGGAATAATAATTACTGTACATACAATGTTGATACTATTTATTTCTTCAATAGATTTTATATGTTGTTTTGTTTCCTTTGTTGTCTTCATCAATATTTAAATATATCAGTATATTATCGCTTACATCAGCATGTTTTCATCAATTTATTTGAATGGATATATATGTTGATTTTGTATTAAGTAGTATTTTAGATGGCTAACTATATGTGTTGTTTGTAATTTATTATTTGATGGGCGTTACTCAAGCTCAACATTTCGATAATCTCTTCTCCTTTAATAAATACTGTCTGTCTGTAGAGACTAGCTCTTGTTGGTCACTATTGCTGTGCAAATCTTTCTTCTTCACTCTTTGTGTTTTGCAAACAACGCTCAAACTCACATCAGATAATGTTCATTTCAGCATCGTCTGTAGTAGTGGAAGAGATTTTAAGGGTTTTGGCTAATATAACTTAATTAATTTTGACATAAAATAAATTGTTGTGTGGACCCAGGTTTTCAGATTACACTAGAACTGTAAATGACAGAAAAAGGATGCACTTTTGGCATCATGCTGGATTGCGGTGTGTGCAACCTTTCCTTTAAAAAAACAACCATTTCCTAATTTTCTTGAAATTGAGTCACTTGAGGCTGAGGAGTCTTCGTGGTTCTCCACCTGCCTGACTCTGTTGTATCAGAAAAGAACATTGAGTCGGAGCTGGGAGATCCAACCTCTGAAATAACTTCACTGAGTTGAAAAGCGTGTTGAGTTCGTGCCTATCTGAAAATATAAAAAAATATCCCAATGGGACCATCGAAACTTTAAAAAATCAAAGTCTATAGTTTGTGCAGTGTTTCCGTCTTTCATATGGAATTTTTTGGGTTTTTTTTAATGGTGGGCAGAAGTGATCTAACACTAACAGTATAATTAGTAGAAAATGGACCTATATATTTCAAATCACATTTTGATACTAGAGGAAAGAAAAAGAATTGTCAGCATGCAAGGAAAATGGATCTATTTGAAATGTAAATTTGTAAATACACCGTAACCGCGTCCATTTTATTATCCCTGTCTGAGTGCATGATATCCCCTAACTACAACAACACGACTCTTACACCTTATGTAAGTCTTGCACTTTGTTCTTCTCCTGATGTGGAAAGGGCATCGTGTTAAAAATGCCATAATTTCATTATTATTTTTAAGGATTTGTGTATATGCATGGGGCAGTGAGTAAATAGAAATGGACCAATCCAAGGGAGTACATCTGGCGGTGAATTGTCGATAACATCCGTTCATTCCAATATTCCATTTCAAGCTATAGATAGCAGATTTGTCATGTGATATTATGAAAGGAAAAAAAATCACTATGCAGTAATATATATGTGTACATGTTTACTTTCAAAATTTAAATTACAACACAAATGTGTTTTTATCTAGAAAAGTGAATTTTAAACATCTATTTTATCTGCCGCATTGTTGTTTTCTTAAAGTGAAAGATATACTTATGAAAATTATTTTCTGTTTAAAAGATGAAATGAAAAGATAAATCTATTTTATTTTTCTTTCTTCTTTTAACATGAGTATCTTTTGTTTCTGGTCATGTCGAAAAGATGAGCATCTGGAAAGAATGCTGTGTGAAAAAAATGTTACCGACATTTTCTTAAGGCACAGATAATTTTAGTTTGAATGTGCACATGTGCTGTTCTATATATGAAACTGTATTGTTGAACATGAAGGGTGAAGTTTGGCTGAAACAAAATTGTGACATGAGTGTAAATGTGTGACACTTTGCAACAAGGATAAGAAAATAAGTGTTTGGTATAGTCTGACATTTGTGATTCAGGATGTCTTCAATCTGTGCCAAGCTTAGTGATCTGATGAAATTTCTGTGTCTTCAGCCCTTGTGCGGAGGAAATTGTAAATCTATACCACCATTGTAAGAAGTTGTCTTGTTGTGAATGCACTTACGTGAATATATACAGTGAAATACAATGATGGCGTTTGACTTTTCATTTCTTGGATATGTGGGTGGTTGGCAGGTGCTCTGGTGTGGTTTGCTCCTTCTTTACTATCAACGTCTATTGTCCCTATCTCTTGTTCTTTATGGGTGGTTGGAGGGTGCTCTGGTGTGGTTTGCTTCTTCTTTCCTATCAAACATCTATCGTCCTGATCTCTCCTCCTTCTTTTTTATGTTAGTTACTCTCTTGTAACACCTCTAGTCTTCGGCACTTATATGACCTTATTCTGTTGCAAGTGCCGTAAAACTCTTACTAAAACTAAAGCTTTCATCCTTTTTTGTGTGTGTTACTCGCTTGTAACACCTATATTCTTCGTGCTTCGATGACCTAATTGTGTTGCAAGTGCAGTAAAATGCTTACTGAAACAAAAAATTTCCAGGACATGAATATCTGTGCAGAAGGCAGATTGATTTCATCTTTTGGGTCCAACATTGTATCACTTGTGAATTTCAAATTTATCAGGGGAGATAAAAACATAGAGAAAGATGAGAACAATGAGCTATTCCCAAATTGGTGGCACAGAAAACATTTCAACAACCCAAATTTTCAGGCTTTTCTGACTTAAATGCATTTCACAATGTGGGAAAGTTCTGAACTGCTTTGAAGAAATTTACTTCATACTTCAAGGGACAGCTTTGTGCCCTATGAAATGTCTTTTAGGTAACGCTTTACTTTGGAACCAAAATCTTTGTACAGTCACATATTGTTCTCGTAGTTGTGAAGTGACAGGTTTTCTTTCTGATTGTCTTCTCATCTATTTTTATTCAAACTTTAGCTAAGATATTTGGTCAGCATGTGCATCTTTTTTTTCTCTTAAATGTAGGTGTTGATTATGCCTCCATAAACACATTTCAGATCATTTAGGAGGCAGTGGGCTGAGAGTCATTGAGTGTCTCATCAGAAAGACCGAGATACTCAATAAGAATTATTCCCAAATGGGAATAAAATACAGGAGTGCTGAAATCGGAGGTACTGGGTCGCAAGGCGCACTCTAGAGAACCAGAATACCACGTAATACTGCAAAAATGACAATTTGACAATTGAGTCTGTAAAATAAGATATGGTGCTCACCCTGTGAGGACCCACCAGGCAGGAACAGTGAACTGAGCAGGACGGCCCAATATATGACAGATACTGGACTTTTAGTGTGATGCCATCAAGACGAAGATTAAGGGAGTAAAACTTAGGTCTTCTGTGTGCAACAAAAAGCACCTAACCATTACACTATAGAAGACATTAATGTGTATAGTAAAAAACGTACATCGCGTATATCAAATTTTTGTTGTGGTTAGCTTAGTGGGTTTTTATCCTTGGCCATTGATATGTTCTGTGCACATATGCTACCCAAAGTGCTGGGTGAAGTCTGCTAAAGTAATGCACTTATTCAGCTCACAAATAATTAATAATATAAAACTAACTGCATTTTTATAGCCCATATCCATGCTCTAGCATGCTCTATGCGTTGTACAAGTATTATTACTCCAGCAGATTCAAGAAAACTCAGAAACATTCTTGGGTACCCAGAAAGTCGCAAGCTGCAGATTGCACGCATTAAAACACTAATAAACTGACAATGTCTTTCATGGTCAAAAGCTGGGTACCCATTCCCATAGGGGTGAAGTGAGGAAGGTTTGTGTGAAATGCCTTTCTAAACAACATAACATGAGGCCCTGGATGGGATTTGAACTCACGACTTTATGGTTCAGAGTCTGAGAGCCTAACTACTAAACCATCAATCCCAAAAAATTTGTTCTCGGCAAATTGTTGGTCATATGAATGTTGGAACGCTTGATTGACATTCCTCCACTGTGGTACCAATCTTTCAGGCAGGAGAACGACAGCTAAGCCAATGTGACCAGCAATATGTTGATATGTACATCACAACAACATTTTCCTGAGAGGCATGATAGGAGTTACAGAGGTTTAACCCTATCCGTACGTCATGTTTTACTATCGTATCCATCCACGCGACGTGGGGAACTGTGCCACCACTTTCCAAAGAGGAAATTTACTCGTAAATCCGACCCGTACGCTTTGCATAGCAGTCTGTCAAAATTATTTTTTGAGAAATACTGAACCAAAAGTTTCAAAGAGATCTTCGTACCAGAAGCTTTCTAAAATGTGAAGAATACAACCCAAGGGTACAAAATGACCCCAGGGCGTACGGATAGGGTTAAAGTATCTGCTTCTTTTTCTTTATTGTTGTAATGATGTAACTTGGCCTTAAAACTCTAGCCAGCTGCAACCCACTATAACAGTGGTTGTAATATAACCTGGCATTAACCTGGCGTCGGTGGCTTAGTGGTTAAGCTCTCAGACTCGCAACCATAAGGTTGTGTGTTCGGATCCCATCAGGGGCCAACGTTGTGTCCTTGAGAAAGGCACTTAACACAAATTTTCCTCACTTCACTCAGGTGGGAATGGGTAGCCAGCTATAGACTATAATAGACAGTGAAAGATCTTGTCAGTTTGTCAATGTTTGAGCGCTTAATCAGCTGCTTGCACAGTATGCTTCACGAGAAGCTGAGAATGCTTCTGAGTGTTCTATGGTCTGCTGGGGTAATAATATAGTGTGTAAAGCGCATAGAGCTTGCTTTTCCGAGTGGGGGCATGTGCTATACAAATGCTACCTGTTATTATTATCACAACCCAGGCTGGCTGCAATCAACCCTGCAGAGGTGGGCAAAGAACACAGACACCTCTCTCAAAATAGCTCGTCGAAAGTCGTTCACTGTGTAGGCTGCAACGAGTCTGACAAAACCTCCATTTGAACAGTGAAGTGAGTTGAGATCATGACAGTCATCACCGTGGGGTTCGAGTTTTTCCTTGAGGACACCAGCTGATCATTAAGGACGTTCTCTCCATCCATTATAACTTTCTACCTTTCTCTTCATGCCATTACCTCAGTGCAGAAGCTGCTGCAACAAGGTGCACCTCTGCCAGCAAATACTGTTTGTGTCACGACGAGGAGGAATCAACGGCAAATTTACATTTTTTGTGTCTTTATGACTCTCAGTAAAATCCATCCAGGAATTTGTTTTAAAATGGACATAAAAGGCGTTGAGCCCATAACAAAAAAATTGATATACATTACCCAATGGGTGGAAAAATGACTTTTATTTTCTTCTTTCGATTTGATTATTTTGACGAGTGCCTGATTTCACAGTGATGTCATACCTTCGTAATAATAACAAAATACAAGTGAGGCAGCGTGGTGGAACTGGGCGCTCGTCAAAATAATGAAATAGAAGAAATTGACATTTCCCCCCCGTTTGTCAATTTTAATGAATTTTGTTTTGTTTTGTGCTCAACACCTTTTATATCCACTTGAAATTGAAAACACATTCCTGCATGGATTTAACTGAAAAACATTTATCACAGGTTCACCCCCTTCAATTGCAAACATCTCGACTTCTATTCAAGATAGATGGGTATTTTGTTCATCAAAAGCAAGGCAAATGAACAGGCCAATTTTACCAATACTTCCATATGCCCAAAAATTGATGAGCACCTGATTTCACTGCGTCGTGACACATAGGCCTACAACATAATAAAAAAGATCACGCTTGAAAAAGTTCAACAAGTCATATTTTTTCTTTAATATTTTATTTACCATATAATTTGTAGATACCAATAGATGTGAATTTGTATTATTTGCATGAGGTTTTTATTATAGGGGAAAGAGGGAGGAGGAAGGGGAGAGTAGTAGTAAAGTGGAAACAGCCAAGTTCAGAAACAGTCAAAAAGGCTCTATCCAGATAAAACAGGTTAACAAAAGTGGGGGAACTCCTATATAATTACAGCTGATAAAGAAAAAAGTATCAACAAAAGAAATAAATATAACACAAAAAAAATCAGTGCAATTCTGAACATAAGTGGTACATTTCTTATGTCGACATACATTTATAAAAAATGTCACAATTTGTTTGGTGTACTCAACACTGGATTTGTCACCTCTAAAACAAATCAGCACTTTGATGTGATGTGAGTTAACCATTGAAATCCAGGAACATCAACATCCAGTTTCATTTTAGATCAAAGAAAAAAAAATAATAGCCATGTGGCCCTTCAACAAATGTTTTGGCTCACATACTTTAACCGCACTCCATTTTGTAAGCCTGTGGCCAGGTCAGCAGGATTTTGTGACCCAGCAAACAGTTGGGACCTGCACTGTGAGGAACCCAGTTCTAATCCCATCAATGGGATGTGCTTCAGAGTCTAAGTCAGTCGTTCAAACACTTTGAGATACTCCTTTCTGTGGATTATTAGCTGAGTTGACAAAAGGCACAGAATACTCCGTTCCAAGAGCTTTTGTAGCGTCCACTGGGTCAACACCAGGGGGTGGACCTCAGATCACTCATCATACGGGTCATTAATCACACTCGTATGAGGAACTAACAGACTCAATAATATATTCGGGTAGTTACACGGGTAAATTGTTGTCTTTCAGCCCACAAAGGACACATCTGACACCTGCAACAGCAGGCCTTTAATGTTTTCTATACCTTCAAATAATACAGTTGACTTTGCAAATCAAAATCAGTTCCTGAACCTGAACTTGCTTGAACTGAGCACTGGGCTGGACCGAATACAAATGTGACAGGTGACATAATACAGCTGATAAAGAAAACAGGACAGAAATCTTACTACATGAGAAGTACAGTGCTAAAAAATTGTACACAAATAAACTGATTCAAGCTCTATGACTGAACATAATTTTTGTTGTTGATAATTTGAGAAGCCTACACTAGTATAAAATAGTAAGATTTCATAAAGTATACACAACCTTCAAAAAGACCAACTTTGTGCAAAGGTCAGGGATGACATAACAATCATTTATTATTATACAAGGCATAGTTAGCATGGGACAGGTAAGATTGTGCCATCTCCAGCAAATGCTGAGCTCAGAATGAACTGGTGGTCAATGTTCATTACTCTTGATCTCTTATTAATCTTCTTAGATAGCAGTTTTGAAAAAAAATCTTGAGCAATATTATGGAACAAACAAGAGTTAGTAAGCCAATCTAAGCAATCTAAGTTAAAGGAACAAGGCTACACTTTGTATCTACGCAAGGCAGGATAGTAGGAAGAAAAACATGAGTGAAGGAAAGGAAATGGTATGTAAAGTATAGCATGACACTAGATCATTTTTCAATCTGAAGCCCTTCTCTTCGCAAATGAGGTAGATTGTTACTCATGCAAAAATGTGCAACACAGAACAATTCCAGTATGAACAAGTGCGTTTGCGTCGGGCCGCCGGGCTAACTCTGCTCTCTCTCGGAAACGTGAGTGACAACCAGAAGTCTGCACTCCACAATTTCCCTTCAACCTGCACATATGACTTGGACTGATTTCTCATGAAGGGCCAACAGCAAAGTCTGTCCAACATGGGGAATGTATGATTCTATAAAGCTGAATGGATTCAGTTAGTGACAAAGAAAGGAAAAAAACAACCAACACATTACCTTCTACTGAGGTCCACCTAGAGCTGTCTTTTGGAAGACAAAAGCTCCACACGGACTGCTGGAGTGGTTTAGAGAATAACACTGCTATTGTCCTTCACTCCACAGTCAACTTTTTAACCCATCAAACACAACTTACAATATTTAACCTTACAGAATTTTTTTTTAATTAAAAAAAAAGAAGCAAAACAGAAAAAAAAGAAAAAGAAAAACTGAAATTGTCCTGAGCTGCACCATGATATCCGACCAAGACATTAAATGTTAATATAGAGGCAATATAAACATGAAACAGTTTGAAGAAGTAAAATCTTCATAGCAACATTTTTTTTTTTTTGCTGTTCTCGTTGAGAGAACAAAATTAAAGACTACACACTTTTAAAATATGGGCATACAAACTGTACAAATTGATGCAAATTGTAACTAACAAACAACAACAAATAATAGGCAGAAATTAACAAAGCAAACAATGCAACAGTTATAAAGTTAAAATCTAAAGAATATTTCTGTACTGCAGTAATGACTGAAGCATTGTAAAATATTCGCAAATATTTATTATGTGAATGTCAATTTCATCAAAAACAACAAAACAACATAGTTTTGCACTTACCAAACTGAAACGCTTTACAAGAGACAGCGGAAGTGCACAGAAATAACCATTTGTTAAAAAAATCATAATTGCAAAGCCATGTCACAATGACTGGGAGAGGAAAAAAAAAGTATAACATTCTTTTTCTAGTGTTGAGAATGAGAGAAAGGATCCTTCACAAACAACACAAAGTGCAGATAGGAAATGACAATTTAAAAGATTGTTTGCACAATGTGGAACAAAAACTTTTACCTGTCCTAGGCATACAATCAATTTTCATCTTTCTGTAGAAAGCAAATAATATCTTTCGAGTTCAGACACTTATTCACTTAAAATTTCTTATAATCCGCTGTCTTACGGATTGCGGTCCAGTTTTAATTTTTTTTGGTGACACTCTAAGAATTCCATTTCAATGCACTCTTAGCTTTACTAAAATATGCATGGACATTAGAAATTTCCTCAAACTTCAGGGAATAGCCTATATCTCGGACATATAGTTTTGTGGGCATATGTGGTCTTGATTATAGAGCCTTCATTTTTGCCATTACCATATATGTGATAAGACACCACAGATGCAAAAGAAAATAATGTATCAAGAACATATCCTTATGGAGCTTCACATACACAGCATACCACTCCATAATTTTCCATGTCTGCTAGGCAGTAACACAGGACTTCTTTGTCTTTCTCTTTATATCACGAGCGCTCTACTGTTCTTCAATCAACACAGATCGTTTGAGATATCACTTTTTCCTTTTCATTGTGATGTAGTCACTCTCTATAGATAGATATCTACTTGATTTACTGTACAATATCAATGCCACTGTGTAAGGTATAAGCGTATCACAAGACTGAAAAAAAAAAAGTACACAAAACCGCTCCCCGACAAAAACCATATCATCCTATTTTTACAACACCGTTAAGCCATCGACAATCACATGCAAAAGGAGAGTCATTCCAGCTCCTTTTCAATCAGGAATACAAGTTCTGTGGGTTTTTCTAACGCTATACTAAAAACACACTCAGGAGACAAAAGGATGTTCAAAATCAGGATGACCACTTTAGAAAAAATATATGGACACTTAAGAGGCACTGGGATGTTTTGTTTTCTCCCTCAAAGCTACCCCCCCCACCTCTTACGGTTAAGGATACACAAAATGGACACGTCAGCTCTTTAAGCTGATAACAAAAACAAAACTTTTTGAATGCATGATTTAGCTCTTCTATGGGTAGAAGTATCTCTTATGACACACTATCCTAAAAGAAAGTGTTATTGAACCAGATAACTGTTAGTGGATTCTTTTAAGATAACTTTAAATTTATTACTACTATCTCAGTCTGTTCATGTAATTTGCGAGAGAAGAAAACATGCAAAAATACTCCAAAAAAGCCATTTACCAACATAAACTAGTGAAATATAAGGCTAAAAGCAAAAATATGAGTTGCAAAGCTGAAACTGGAAAAATGAAGAGTCAATCTGAGTTTCTCTGGTTTGCAAAGAGGCTACTGAGCTGGATGTCAATGAAGCAAACACTTCTGTCCTGCAGGGCAGTGAGGCCCAGTGGTCAGACGGTCACACCTCAGCAAGCTCCTGACACCCTAGTCAAAATCCACAGAGTATATACAATGGCAGTTATTGAGCAATATGAGGGAAAAACCACTTGGGGGTTCGACCACAGCGGAACAAAACCAGCTAACGATAACAGACAATGTATAAAGCATGCATATTATGACATGTATATATGTGTACGGTCCTTGTCAGAATGAAACAAACACGGTCAAAACCTTGAGGACACCAGTCTGGTACGGAATGCTGCTCAAATCCTCTTCTGTAGCTAGAGGAGAGCACAGAGATAACAAATAACAGACAAGGTAAACAAACTGCATATCTCTGTATATATGCATTTACTCTGCATAATGTTATTGCCAAGCTGAACAGAGGTAAAACGCTTGATTATTTTGGGCAGTAAGCAAGGACTATTGTTTTAAAAATACAAAACACACAAAAGCTGGAGAAACAAACACAGAGAGATGCACACATTCAATATCATTCATCAACTAACACACTTTCCTACAAGTCAAACAGTGCAACTCCACAAACAACCCCCTAGTAACCCATAGCAACCAATCAATGACCCTGATGGTTGTACAAAAAGATGTCACATAAAACAGCTCAAAATATAGGATCTCGTTTTGATGTGTACAGATGTTTCTATCCAAAGTAAGACCAATCTTAACCTCCTCACTGCAGCAAGACACTGGAGTACACAGCATGGGTACCCTCATCTTCTATACAGAATCCTTCAAGTAAGTAATAAATTTAACAATCATTGACACTTCCGAAGTGAAATAATCACTGACACTATGATAATGTAATTATATAATCACTGACACTGATTTTTTTTTATCAAGAACTTCAAAACCATACAACAAAAACCTATCTCTAGAACTTAGTAAATAAAACTAACAAGGCTGGAACCTCACTGACAAAGAGAGAACTTCAGCATACACGTAAACCTTTCAGCCTGGCTACATTACAAATGTTTTCTCATTCCTGTAAGACTTGTACATTTTCTTAAAGACCAAATTATTTTAGATTATTGTTAAAGTAAAAAAAAAAAAAGGTCAGCCTTTTATAGAGAAAAACATGCTTGATTTACCTTGAATTCACACAAACACATAACTTTTCAGATAGATTTTCCATTAAATCTGAGACAAAAATCCTTTCTGATTACATTTTGAGTATACATAGTAGCGATACTGCATAAACAAGGAATGGACAGTGAATAATCTATAAAAGACTAACAGTAAGAAACTGTTTTCTTTCCATACACATGAAATGAACAAGTTAATTTGATGTATAACCCTTTGCCACCACCTCCTAGCCCTAAGTGGAACAAGCCATGGAGCAAAGGTTCAAATGTTATAACAGAAAAATTTTAATAAGGATATTGACAAATTGTCAGTAACTTTGCACATCCAGTCATATCACCTGACGTGTAGCCTTTCTCCAAAGGTAACTACGCACAATACTTTGCCATTGTTTAAATTTCCTTTACAGTTAGCGACACAAAGATTCAAAATTCCAAGTTCACAGCACTAACAACACAAACTATCCACCACTAAAAACTTATTTCAACTAAAACTTACAAAGAAACTGTCTGGCAAAATCAAATCCGTCATTTACACAACATGTTACAGCCCTTTTAAAGTATTAAGAATCATCAACCAATACATCACTCTCTCCTTGCAATAAAGTACTAAAAGAGAACAACATAAATCTTGCGTTGATGGGGAGGACCTCGGTAGCTTTGTCCTCGCGTCAGTGGAGAGGCCAGGCCACCACTTGGAACTCTCACAAGCTTACAGGTTACCCGGACACAAGACTTTCCCGCGTCACAAACTTACTACAATCTCTGGTGTTGTGTAGCCTTTATCTACATCGTCACCCCCACAACACAGAAACACACAGAGCTCCTGGCAACCATCCGCTTGTCTCTGGCATTGGAAGATCGACGTCGCATCTCACGCAAAGCAGCGGGTAGAGAAAAACAGTCACCTTGTGTACCTGCGTGTGGACGAACCAGAGGCAGGGAAGTTTTGTCAGGGAAGCACTGCCCCACTCGCCCCCACACACAGTTCAAGCTCAATACCTCGAGGCGTAGGGAATATCCTCATCCACCCACACCACCATCTAGGTGTGTAGACTTTCCACCCACACCACCATCTAGGTGTGTAGACTTTCCTAGCACACCACCATCTAGATGTGTAGCCTTTCCTAGCACACCACCATCTAGGTGTGTAGCCTTTCCTAGCACACCACCATCTAGGTGTGTAGACTTTCCTAGCACACCACCATCTAGGTGTGTAGACTTTCCTAGCACACCACCATCTAGGTGTGTAGACTTTCCTAGCACACCACCATCTAGGTGTGTAGACTTTCCTAGCACACCACCATCTAGGTGTGTAGACTTTCCTACCACAGCATACATGTGTAGACTTTCCTAGCACAGCACAAATGTGTAGACTTTCCTTCCACAGCACGCATGAGTTCCTCCCTCTGCTGGCCTGATCCCGCTGACACACCAGCACATACCAAATCAAAGAATGCCTCTAAATGTCTCCATTATTCTAGCAAATACACTTTTCGCAGCCATTTAACTTGCTGACAACCTTTTCCTCCCGTGGCCATATACTGACACCAACGCCCAGAAAGCACATCGTCATGGAAAAAAAAGGGTGAAATCAACTTCCAACAGAAACGGTTCCATTCAATTACTGCAGCAGCTTCCATGTGCCTCCATCCTGTAGGCTCCAGCAGCCAAGACATGAGTGGTGTATCAGTCTGGCTTGGCAAAGCCTCTCCACATTGCGTTCGTCTCCAGGTATTTGGCAGTGTAATTGAGAAACGATCACAAACTATTTACTAACAGCTTCATCGTGTAGTCACTGACCTGTCATTTCATGGGTAAGTAAGTAGATCACATTACAGCGTCTTCTATTAGATTTATTTTCATTTTTTGGCTTTCTCCTTATAAAGTAAATAAATGTCAAACTCAAAGAATCTGGATTTTACAGTACTGAATTATCAAACTTTTCAGTGAAGTCAAAGATAAGTGCACATTTCTGAAACTGAAAAAAAAAAATTCTCTGCCTCTGCACAGTTTTAGTCAGGGCAGCAGTTGGACTCTGTAGCGTCCTGACGACATATTGGGCAGGTCCGATTTGTCTGAAAGAGAGAAAGTAAAGAATACTGAGACCTCCGTGGCAACAGAAATTCATTTAAAGAAGGGTCTGCTGTCATACACTGTCATGTACACATAAAACATAAAACTGCAGTAGTAAAGAGACGATATGAACAAATACAAACTAAACCACGGCTTCTTTTCTTTAAAAAGACAGCGTGACTGACTAAAAATTAAAAATTTTTTTTGTTTGAGTAAAGAGAAGTACATAAACACAATAAGAATAACTTGACAGTCATTGGGCGCAGGTTAAGACCTACTAATGGCACCCTACAACCACCCTCGAAAAGGTTGTAAATGAATTAAGACATTTCTTTTTGGGCTTAGAAAGAAAGTTAAGGGAGAGGATCAAAAGTGGTACTCTGTCAAACATTGTGCCCTGTTTGTTTGACAGCGCACAACATTGATCTCCCAGCATGCTTGCAGGAAAATATAAGAAAATTGTGAAGGTAAAAAGTTCTGTCTTGTAACAGCAATGACATATACTTAACTTGCATTAGCTTCTAACAGAGCAAGGTCACCCAAGCTGACAGGCTCCCAGAGTTCGAACACCCCTCTCTTCTCCCAAACACACACACACACACACCAGCCGAGGCAGAAGCACTCACCTTGAGCCACTTGTCCACACACTTGGCATGGAACTCGTGCGAGCACGGCAACACACGCAGCAGCTGCTTGGCCTCAAAGTCGCACATACACACCACACACGAAGTCTGGTCCGACTCGGAGCGGGCGGCCTCACTGCTGAAGCGGTACGCTGGCAACTGCTCAATGTCGTTCTTGGTCAGTCCTTTCTGTTTGGCCTCGCCGAGTCGCTCCGCTAGAGAAAGCAGAGCCTGGGGAGACACAACCACACAGGCTCATTACATGTTCGCATTCAAACATAGTTAGTGTCTGATAGCTTCATTTCAATTGTATTCCCTCTCCCCCCCCCCCCCCCCCCAACATGAAAAATTGATGAATGTTCTGTCTTTAAAAACAAAAACTGCTTTACTTATTTCTTCACACAGGGGGTCAAACATTGGCATTATGAACACACAAAACAGTTAAGTTACCTTGATTGTCTAATCTAATTCACATAATTTGATAATGTTTTGGGTTTAGAGAATCTCATAAAATATACAAATAATCCATTTCACAATTTATTCATTTACCAGAACAACACCTACATCCTGGTCTTCTGCAGTTCACAAACAATTTTACCCCCAATTTTCTATTTTCCAGTTTGCGTAGTGACAACAGTGAGCAATATAAGCATGAGGTGTTCTGTGGTTGGTGAGAGAGACAGAGACACAAGCTTACCTCGTAGTTCTCCACCTCCTCTGGGTTGTACATGTCTCTGCTGTAGGGCGTCATGGGAGGGCTGCCCAGCATAGCCCTGAGGAAACACAAATGTCTTCTGTCAACTGAGGAATATGCTACTCTATTGATGTTGTTGTTATTGTTGTTGTTATTGATCCAGCAACAGCTTGGCTCTCGCCCTTCTGTCCAGTGCCAAGTAGTGAAAAGTGCAGGTTTGCTGTAGTTCTTGCTTTGTTCCATAGAGTGCTTTGTCAATGTTAGGTCTCGGAGGGAGAAGTGCTCGAATATACTACATCACATTACAATTTTCTCAAACTCTTTCCATATGTCACTCCAGTAGAGTGGAACAATCTGTTCAAAAACAATGACTCAGTGCACAGCACAGTGCTCATATATCTATACATCACATCAAAACCAAGAACTAACAACGAAATTAACACACATTGTTACAGCGACTTTCAAATAAGTAGAAAAGCAAAACAAAAGCCTCTGATGACAAAACTCACAAAAAACAAGGAGCCCACTAACACTATAGTTTTAAAGGTAGGCAAAAAGCTCAAACATTTTTACAAGCAACTCCTCTGGTTCAAATTTCATGAAACCCTTCCAGAGTTTCATTAAGGCACTTTACACGAATTTTCCTCACTTCACCCAGGTGGGAATAGGTACCCTCCCATAGACAGCGAAAGATCTTGTCAGTATATTAGTGTTTTAGCGTCTATAAAAGGTCTCTTGCACTGTATATTTCCCAGGAAGTTGAGGCTGTTTCAGAATTCACTCAGGTCTGCTGGGGTAATAGGATAGGTTGTGAGGCGCATAGAGCTTGTTGTTGAGCGGGGATTTGCGCTATACAAATGTTATCTATTTATTAACACCTGAGGCTTAAAGCACGAAAGAACACCGACAAAGATCAAGTTTATGCCGTGTGTGGGTGGAGCCAAGACTTACAGGAACTGTAGCAGGAAGCCTGGGCTGTAGTGCTGCTGCTGCATGCGGACACGACTGCGGGTGCTGGAGCGTCTTGAGTAGTACCTTGAGATGGAGCCCTGTGAGAGAAGAGGGAAAAGTGGAGTTGTTACTTCTGACATCCATATGACGTTGTAGTGAGAATTCAACGGAACTCGCAACACAATTAGGCCATATAAGTGCCGGAGAATAGAGAAAGGACTAGAGATGTTTGATAGGAAAAAAGGAACAAACCACACCAGGGCACCCGCCAACTACCCATGGCAGATTTGTTACTTATGGCCAGTCTGTATGATGTTGTTATTATGTTGCTATCGATCCAATATGATAATGGCAACATTTCATAAGAAACAGACAAAGACAATGGTAACACCAGAAGAAAATAGAAAGAGCAGACAACATAGGAGACCCTAGCAACTGTCCACAGTCAAGGAGATAGACAATATGGGCACAACCATGGTGTTCAAAGATTGCAGGGGAAAGCAGGAAGACCAACAGAAACAGTGGAGATATGACTGAAGTCTGACAGCTAGGAGAGCTCTCCAGCCATCTAACTACAAGATGATGGGAAGAAAGCAACTTCCTTCACTACCTCTCTCAGAACAGAATGACGATTAACAAAGATACAGACACTAAAATACGAAATACAAAAGTACACGACGAAAATCCCCCTTCCAGTATTGAACTTGTTAAAGAAAGTCAAAGAAGAAAAGAGAATGGTGTGAATCAAAAGAAGAAATGAGAATGGTGTGAATCAAAAGAAGAAATGAGAATGGTGTGAATCAAAAGAAGAAATGAGAATGGCGAGAATCAAAGAAAAAATGAGAATGGTGTGAATTAAAGAAGAAATGAGACTGGGGTGAGCTTACGTAGAAGTCCGGGGGCGCTGGGTGCACCGTTGGTTCTTGCAGTAAGACAGGCTGGGATGAGGTCACGGGGTGAGAAAGGCTGTGGGGATGAGCGCTGTGGCTGGGGTGGGTGGAGGCTGCTGCTGCGGCCGCTGCAGCAGAGTGATGATGATGGTGGTGATGATGATGGGGGTGGTAGCTGGGGTGGAGAGGGTAGACGCCAGCTCCTCTCTGGTCTGTCAGCACGGGGTGCACGTCCTCATCCTGTGGGGATACGAGTGGATAGTTAATAAGTTATGTCTTTAATGGCCCTGTCAACACTATTAGGTTATTAAAGAGAATGGACTTCCGAATTTAACGTCTGTCTCTAATATAATAGGACAGGGCCAAATGTGTTAAGAGCCTTGAAAACTCCACAAAATGACCCAGGTTCAAGAACTCCAGAGTAGGATGGAACCAGGGTCATCTTTTTCATAGTTCAGCATGATACTAAATAAGCTAACGGAGTGCCTGTACGAAAACTTCTGGTGGTAATGCCATGAACACACATGCTGCACAGACAGCAACATAATGGCACTTCTTTTAAAAGTTAACAGTGTCTTTTTATTGCATGAAGGTATCAAAAAGTCACTCCTAATCTAATTGGAATGCTTCTTTAAATTTCATGGTGTGACTTATTAAAACAACATTTCAGCCTGGAGAATATGTTTTGTGGCGTCGGTGGCCTAGTGGTTAGGCTTTCGGACTCGCAACCGTAAGGTCACGGGTTCGAATCCCGTCAAGGGCCCGACGTTGTGTCCTTCGGAAAGGCACTTTACACAAATTTTCCTCACTTCACCCAGGTGGGAATGGGTACCCGGCTATAGACAGCGAAAGATCTTGTCAGTTTGTTAGTGTTTGAGCGCTTAATCGGCTGCTCGCACTGTATGCTTCCCGGGAAGCTGAGAATGTTTCGGAGTGTTCTATGGTCTGCTGGGGTAAAAATATAGTGTAAAGCGCACAGAGCCTGCTGTTGAGCGGGGATATGCACAATACAAATGCTATCTATTATTATTATTATTACTACTGCCTTCTAACCTACAACTCTGTAGGACTCTTGGATGCAAACATTCAAAGACCATTTCACTTTCCATGGGATACAAATGATAAATATAAGATTTATTCACTACTACAGGGCATAATAGAACTTGTTTGCTTTGTTATGACTTTAAAAAGGATGTTGCTACCGTGATCTATTGTGAAACTCAGAACAAGTTGGACTAGCTGCAAAGAAATGAAGCCCCACAAAATCACCCAGCATCATCTATCATACAAATAATAAAATGTATGAAGCGACATTGATGCTCAGTGCACCAGGAATTTCCCGTAAAATAAATATCCATCAATTCTACAACATATTGTTACCTGTGAGCTCTGTGCTTGCCTCTGCTGCTGTTGCTGGTGTGTGGTGGGGTAGGGGCGGTGTTGGTGGTGGGGGTGCAGTCCGTGGAGCTGGTGCGGGAGGGGCAGGTGGCTTTGGGGGGGTGGGGGCGGGGGATGAGGGGGCTGGGGTGTGTGGTGGTGGGGATGGGGGTGGTGGGGGTGGCTGGACGGCAGGTACTGGGGCAGGGGGTGCGGCAGCGTGCAGTGGGGCAGCGTGCACGAGTGGAGACGCACGGGCAGGCCAGCCAGGGGCCAGGAAGGCACAGCCGCCGAGCTGCCCATGTGCACCTGGTGCACCGGTGCACACATGCCCAGCGGGTGGGGGGAGGCCGTGGCACACAGCGGCACGTAGGGACCCATCGGCATCGGACCCGCCATGGACACCTGCAGGGGAAGACATGAGAGATATATAAAGCAGTGCACAACTATGGTCAGACACAATACCTAATAATAGAATCTTGTTCTTGAAGTCCACTTCCAACACTGGACACTGTTTACTTGAATAAAGGGAAGTAACACAAATAGATACCCCCACAAACAAACCAAAAATGACGTATAGATAAACAGGAAGTGCTCACCCCATATAGACAGGCCCACAAACAAACAAACACAGACATACGCACAGACCAAACATCTAGCTAGCGCCGCTCACCGTGCTCCTCGCCACATAGACACACCCACAAACAAACACAGACAGAGTCACCTACAAACAGCTAGTGTGCTCACCACATGGGCACATCCACAAACACAGACAGACACACGCATAGACCAAACAAACAACTAGCTAGTGCAGCTGCTGCTGCCTTCACCACATGGACATGCCCACAAACAAACAAAGACAGACGGACGTACAGACCAACTAGCTAACTAGTGCAGCTCATCCCCACATGGACACGCCCACAAACACAGACAGACACACGTATAGACCAACCAAACATCTAGCTAAGTGCTGCTAACCGAGCTCCTCACCTGCTTGAGATGCTCCAGCACGGAGGGCCCACAATCACAGAAAGAGTCATTTACAAACAGCTAGTGTGCTCCCACATGGACACGCCCACAAAGACAGACAGACACACGTATAGACCAACCAAACATCTAGCTAAGTGCTGCTAACCGAGCTCCTCACCTGCTTGAGATGCTCCAGCACGGAGGGCCCACAATCACAGAAAGAGTCATTTACAAACAGCTAGTGTGCTCCCACATGGACACGCCCACAAAGACAGACAGACACACGTATAGACCAACCAAACATCTAGCTAAGTGCTGCTTACCGTGCTCCTCACCTGCTCGAGATGCTCCAGCACCGAGGGTGTGTGCTGGGCGGCGGAGATCATGGCCGGGTGCAGCTGGTGCGCCGCGAGGAAGGCGGGGCTGGCCGCCACGTGGAGGTGTG